GCCTTTATCCATTTTTTGTAGCAATTCGTTTTTTGTTTGATGGACATCGAAACATACTTTCGTTTTCTAGATCCTTTGGGAGCTCCAGCATCAGAAATTCTATTTGACATAATCGAAAGTTCAAGCTTACTTTTAGAAAATTGCTCTTACAGTCTGCAAAAATAATAAGCCGGATCCAATTCGAAGATTAAAGAACAACGCATCATCAACATTAACTGAAATAGATAATTATATAATTTTAGCTTATACCGTCCGTTATATATTAACGCGCACGCGAAATGTATCTGCCTTGCGCAACACCATATGCGCAGTGGTACTGTCTTGCGTGCACGAGTAACGCCTATGCGCTGCGTCAATGCGGCGCATGCGCAGAAAGATTTTAGCTTTGAGGTCCGGATTATAGATCATTCCGGATTATGGGTGTCCGAATTAACGACTTTTGACTGTATTACAATACTATTTTTGCATTTTATGAAAATTTGTGTTGCTCCATATAGACCAAATTTTTAATCAAGAATTCCCCCCCCCGGTCAATGGTGTCCCGCTTTACCAATGTTAAAATCTGGTCACCTTATCTATGCTCGACTGAAAACTGTCATTTAATGCCTTCATTTTCTAAGAATTGATCAAATTCGAGACTTTTGAATTCTTTTGCATTATTGCTGCAGAGTATTTTCAGCTGATTTCCCATCCGCTTTTCACCCTAAAATTTGTATTTTTGAAATGCTTCAGTGACTTTGGACCTTTATTTTAATTTTTCACAATATTTGTTGATGAGTGAAGTATTTTGCACCATTTAAATTCCTATTCCTGTAAGTTTATGCACAATTTTGAAAAAAAAAAAGGTAAAAAAAATCTGAAAGGTTTGAGATTTGAAATTACGTCCGAAAGGGCATTCATTTTTTTTAACATTTTGTGTGTTACCTTTATTTTTTAAATATCATCTTCTTTGCTCTTAAACCATAAAATTCAATTCAATTCAACAGCAATGTTGCAAAATAATTTTAAAATAAGCATATCTTTAGAATTTCCGATACGCAGTTCTGAATGCTGGAGATAATTTTTTTTTTTTTTTTCTCCTGTAGAGTGTTGCTATTGCTTTTAAATTGTTCACTTTGTTAATAAAAAATTCACTAAAGTTTTATAAAATATGAAATCGATGATAAAACAAAATTTCAAATTTGGACTTTCAGATGCCCATATTTGCTGTAGGATTACATCATTCAGAATTGGCTAGGTACCATTGTTTTATCACAGTGAGAAACATGCATAATTTATGTAGATTCTTCATTATTTAATTTCTTCAAATATACTACAGGTCAATAGTATTTGGTGGCAATGATTTGAAAAAGTGATACAGCCTTTTAAAATTTTCAACTCAAACTCGCAAAACGAAAACAATAATCCTTCAGGAACAAAGCCCCTTTGGACTAAAAGAAAGAAAAGATAAATAATCGTGCATTTTTTTTGTGTACTACCTTGGATGTTTTTATGCACAGAACAAAGCTGTTTGATCTCTTGCTATTCATTTGCCCAGTTCAGCTTGGTTAGTTTCATAAGTTTCTGGCTTGACTGACTGGCCACTTGGAACTTACCAAACTTCTGGATTAAAACCATTTTCACTGGGAAAGCCATATTTCAGAATTATTGTTATCCTTTTTTAAATTTGAATATTCATGTTCATCATTTTCGTCAGTTACATACAGTTTGATTAAAGAAAGAAGTAATTTTACTTATGTTATTTTCCTTGAAAAGCACAGAAGTTTTACATGCTGCTTAAATGTACATCTCTAGTGGACTACTTGGGAACCTTAGCTTACTAGGCCCATAAACTGTTGAATTTTAAATTTTTGTGTAGAGAATAAAACTTGGTTACCAACCAAAGCAGCATACTTATTGTAATGTGCTTAACAAAACCGATGAATAGGATATGTCAACCTATGACATATGAAGAAAACATAACATGAAGAAGATGAAGGATGAATAACAGATGATTAAGAGTTGACTGGTATATCAATAGGTACATGACTATAACAATGCCATACAATACGTTATATAAAAGCTGTTCGGGATACTTTGCTAGGTTCTTATTCGCATTCTAGTCATTGACAGCTATTTTCCATGTTGAGATTCCATACATCATGTTGTCGCACCAGGCTACTACTGGCCAAGTTGATAATCAGGTTCGACATGCACCCTGGATAAACACATCAGAATCATACACAGTCTTTACTGCATTCTTGGCTTCTTTTGGGGGACTATATTGCATTGAACTTCTTGCCTCTTCAGCATTTTATAGCTGCAAGGGTGAGTACAAATTTTCCAACACAGTTAATTTGAAATTGAAAATTATTAATGATCTATATATATCTAAAGGGCATAACCATTTATAAAATAAACTTTAAATGATGTGTTATTAGTAAATATAAGTTATATGAATTCATGTACTGTAAACTGTAATTAGTCAGATTTACTTGCTATGAATTCTAAGACAAATATAATCTTTTTTTTTTACTTAAGACAAAATTCAACTTCAGTTTGGCATTTCTTATATAAGAAGAGCCATTATGAAGAGAAAATATGTCTTCTAAAACTGGTATCACATTTACAAGCTATACTCAACAGCACATCAACAGAAAACTTTACAGAATTTTTCTTTTCTGTATATCTGATTGGTTGACCCATGCGAAAACCAGCTCTTTGGAGGAATCCTACGAGGACAGTGCTTCAAATGAAATGTTTTTAGTTTAGTTTAAAGAATAAGATCTAGTTCTCTTTTTTGAAATAATAAATCAGATGATATTTTTGGAATTCTGTAGATTTAGCCATCCTTGGTGTCTCATTTTTTTTTTAATTGAAAAATTATTATAAAAAAACTATAAAATAGTTTTGATACTACAAATTGACAAATATTGGGGAGAATTTTTTCTAATTTTTTAAGTTGTGAAACCTATAAGAAAGAGATGTTTCAGATAATTCTTTAAGCCTTTATATTTATTTTCGTGGAAAGCTCTGTTTGGTGGGCTGAGGGGTACTGTATTGGAAAGCATATCTGTGTTTTGATTTGAGTTACTTTAAGATTATGATTTTGATGTTAGAAATTAAGAATAGCTGGTGTCTTGTAAAAAATTCCACTTAAGAAGTTTTATGCATTACTAGATGAAGATTCATATTTGAGTGCTAAAAAATTTGCTAGACATCAGGAGTAAAGTAACAAACCATTTATAGTCATTTACATGCAATGAGAAAGGAAAAGAAATATCCTAGACAGAATGAGAGGAACTGTAATGAATCTCATGAAGTGCTTCAACAAACAGCACAAAAAGTTTTTCTGTAGGAAAATCACATCAGGTGATTAAAAAAAGCTGATAAGGTTACATTTATCTCTTAATTCCAACAACATTATATAGATTTTCGTGAAGCAACGATATTGACAGTAAAACACAATATTGTTTCCAAGAAGGTTCTGCTGATGGAAATTTGTTTTGTAAGAAAAATTTTGTTTATTAACATTTTGCAGGCAGACATGATTTTTGACACTTATGAGTAACTGCCAAATCCAGTTATTTCACGTGTTAATCAACTTAATAACTTACAAATGTTAATGATTTAACTATGTTGGAAGTATTTGTGAGACTATGATAATGCAGCTTCCAGTTTTACATCTACTTCACCTAAAAATATTTTAAAATTAGGGTTTTCATGAGTTTCTGTCCAAACCAATTTGTTTTCAGTTACAAATCATTTTCATCAGCTTTTAAATCGCTGCTAGAAAAATAGTACACATGATGAAATTTTTTTCATTGAAAAAATGTATTACTTTCCTCTGAGTAATTACTGTCATTATCTAAATATTCACAGTTACTATAAAAATTATCTAATAACCAGGCATTTCTTTCTCATTGCTAAAAAAAATCATGCAAAGCCACTTTCAGATTAAGTAAAACTGCAAAACAAAACAACAGCTTTTGAAATCTCAGAGCAGTGTGTTTCACTGCTGTCTATATACATTGCGATTACAGTTTCTTGCTTTCTATATTTGATCAGATCTGTATTATGATCAGTCTTCCACTTGTATTTGAGATAACATTCTCCTACATTCAAAGTTTGTCATTTTTTTGGACTTTGATCACAATATCCTGCCTGCAAACTGCTAAGAGCATTTGAAACTAGGTCAATCTATCCAAGGATTAGTGCATGAGGGAAAAAGTCAAGCAGTATGATTTATTTAAGTTCACCTCCATATTATTAGTATCACACCAAACTTCCAAAGCATTCAAGGCAGCAGAGAGTTTAGTCTCTATGTTTCTCGCTGCACTTTCTTAAGCGAAGTTCAAAGCCGGAAAAATTAAGTCCAAATGAGGTGAATGCAGGAATTTGTATTTATTTTGAACTATTTGTCATTATTGTATATTTATTAATTTTTATCTGTTTGATTTTATTTGTTTATTATTTAATGTACTTTTCATGATGGTCTTTCGTAGGATTATGGCACTTGTAATTTAAAAATTATCGTATTTTTATGATAATTTAACCCCTTAACTGCCGCGGGCGTATATATACGCCTTGCTCAGCCGATGCGTTAACTGCCCCAAGCGTATATATACGTCCTTCCAAACTGCTATCATTTACTTTGCGCTGCTACACCTAAAATTATTCGCAAAGTTAACGCATCGGCTGCGCATCTGGGCCAGTTAACGCATCGGCTGAGCAAGCATATATATACGCCCGCGGCAGTTAAGGGGTTAAGATATTTTTTCTTTCAGAGCTAAAAATACTTATTTGTTCGCCTACTATAATATATAAAAAAAATTTGTTCAATATTTCCAATAGTAAATCTTGAGAATGTCCTGAAAATTTCTGAACTTTTGAAAAATAAACTTTATTTTTATGGAAAGTGTGTAAAGTATGCAATATATTGAAAAGAAAATAATAATAAATATTTACCTTCTCACAAGTGTTCTACAAAGTAACAAGCTGGTGCATTTCTTTCATTAAAGTACACTGAAGAAAAGCTTGGAACATCTGAGAAAACAGAACTTGATGCCCATTTTGATGGGTTGGCATCGCGTTCTGACAGGACTAAGCATTGGACAGAAAGACTTGTTTCTAGAACTGATGCAGTTCTTCAACCAAATCCCAGTGAGTAATTTACTTCTGAACACTCGATAAAATCATTACAGTTTGTTTATTTATTGACTTATTATTTTCATTTTGTAAATTATTAACAGTAATTTGTGTGTCCTGGAATTTGAAGTTATATTTATGTCCTTTTTTGTTTAAATGTCACCAAGAACCTCTTATTTAAGGGTTGCACAAAAGCAGCAGCCTTGCTTAACCCCTTTGACGCGCGCTATATTATTTAAAAAATTTTTTAAACTAAAAACACTAGAAATCGAATATTATGATCCTAGAGACAAATAATATACGAATTTAAAAAAATCTACTCCTGTCCATTAATCTGTGGGTGGTGGTTTCGCTGTGAAACCAGCGCGTGTCTAGGACTTTGAAACTTACTGAGTTAGTAGGAAAAAACAACTTACCTTTTTCCGTATGCATTTCCAATGAATTACGAAATTTGCGAATAAAAAAAAACTGCATTTAAAAATTGCATCAAATATAAATTTTTTACTTTATTTTACAAAGTATATCATCGGAAAAAAAAATTATAATTTATGTAATTTTTCTGCAGCAGTGAAAACATAAGAACGTACAGAATAAGGAAATAGGGATAAATAGATGGATAAAAAGCCATAAATATATCCATGGGTTTTGCATCTTCCATAGAGGTAATTTCGTCAGCTGGGCCATAATCCTCAGAAAATTCGGGAATGGATTTCACTACATTCTGCATTTTATTCCATGTTACATCTGCAATTCTGGAAGGACCTGGTAAATTTATATCATCATTTTCTGACTGATCATCACTTTCATCTTCTATATTTCCATAAGCAGGAGGGAGGGGATAAAGGAGTATTTCCTTCTCCTTCACTTTCATCCTCAGAGACCACTGATTCTGGATCTGAAGGTAATTCTTCAAGTAACGCTAATGCATCAGCTATTTCTAACCCTTTGCGAGGCATTTTGAATCTCAACAGTAAAAAATAAAATATTGGCAAAATATTTTTAATTTAATTAAATTTTTGCACGATTTCTATTTTTAATTATTCAAAAATATATTTGCAATTTTTTGGAACCACACAAAATAATTTAGAAAATCACAGTACTAGCCTAGAGAGCAAGCATGTTGAAAGCAGAGAAAAATCTCTAAAATGAAAAATATTTTATGGGGGCAGGTGCATGTATTGTTTGGTAATGCAATAACTCTGTGATTTCAAAACCCCTTATCTATATCCGGGTGAAAATAAACACTTTTATTTCAAAGCAGCAAACATTACTATAAAGAGCAGTGGTTTCAGGGTGCGACCACCGAGCCTCTAGGGGAATGTGAGCATTGTAACGCAATGCTCTAGTGGGCCAGTGGTCATGCCCTGAAACCACAAAGGAAATACCATAAATATACACAGGTTGTTTATATATGCAGTTTAATTATTGCTGTATTTTTATTGTTAATGATAGAATTAATGATGTGCGATAAAAAAAAATTTAATTTTAAGTTATTAATATAAATAAAAGGAAGTTATTTTGTCTCACTTAAAATGAATTTTAAAAGGCATCCGATTTAAAATACTAAGACCTAAAAAATGTATAGTTCTGCAGTAATTTTGCATTATTTAGAGGTAAAAGATAAGTAATCAATCGGTTTTCACTTAAACAGTTTGGAAACAAGAGCGGAAAAAATTTCGAAAATTTTTGGTTTCAGGGCGCGACCACCGCCCCTCAAAGGGTTGAAAGTTCATTGCAAATCATCACCAGATGGCTAGCAGTCCTAACTACATTCGCTTAGCTTTTATCGGATGATATAGCTGTCACAGTTGATATAGCTATCATAGCCATTTTAAGCATAAAAGCCATTGGCTTCATTCATAGTTGGGAAACTGGGTCTAAGCCACAGCAAGTCAAAAAAGGTACATTTGTGCTTGCTTGGATGTGTCATTGACATAGTGTAATCGTTGACAGATGTCAGTTCATGTTTGCTTTGCTGTAAATGAACAGTTCTTATACTGGCTTGGCATGATTTAAACAGCATATTGTTAAAAATTAGACAATATTTTTATACCAGTATCTGGGATGCAACAAGGTCTCCTTGCCTATAATCTGAGGTACTTATGAAAAATCCCGTCAACCACTTTTCCTTATTAAAAGAAAAGAGGGCAAACTATGCAATTTTTTGCCAAATATGGAAAAGTCTTCTTCAAACAGGCTGGGTTTGATGTAAACTTGATTACACATGTTAGCTAGGAGAGTGAAGACTCCTTTTTTTCCCCTCTATCACACATATATATTTTTTTTTTTTTTTTTTTTTTTTTTTAAATTTGGGACCTGCTTACTACAGAAGAGCATGCTGTTGAATATTTCCAAATTTATGGTATCTTACTGGCCTAAAAAAATGTGTTAATGGCTGCAAAATGGTGCTTTGTTAAAACAGAAGCAATAATTAATAAAAAATAATGGAAATTTTTAATGAAAAATTAAATGTAAATAAATGATAATATAATAAATTTCAAAGAAAAATAAGAATAGAACGTTTTTTCTTGTATTTAGTAAATGCTTTTTTTTTGGGGGGGGGCACGATTGGTGCCGTCTCTTGCGGTCAACGTGATTGTCCGTAAGTATCTAATCTGATACTTTAGGATTGATATTTCAAGGCCATTTCTTCTCCTAAACCATGATTCATAATCCTGACAATGACTGCAGCAGAAAAAGTAGGTTTAGTTTTCTAATTTGCTTAAATCCCCTAATTTCTTCTGTGATGATGATGATGCCGGTTTTACGGTCTTAAATGAGGGGAGGCTTGCTATGATGTTGGAGTCCTATTTTAAAGTAGTAGACTCTAGCAATGGAAGTTCAACTTATACCAGTTGTAATTATAAAACCCTTGTTCGAATGCTGTCATTTAAGTCTACCCATCGTAAGAAGAGCTGTGAGAAGGATTGTTGCTTTGGTGCAATTAATTAACAAGTAGGCTGTTGGTGCCATTTTAATAGTAATGCCACTTTAAAAAGAACTCAATTAAATTTATCTTTTAATTTTTTATTATTTTGTTATATTTATTTGCTTGTGATCTAATTTTTTGACATTTTTATCATGGAGCAATAATGTTAACACTTTACTGACCGATTGCCTATTAGTCGACTTTTTCTCGCCAACGCCTACCGACCAATAGCCTATTAATCGGCTTTTTTCGCCAACACCTACCGACCGATAGCCAATTAATCTCTTTTTTCTCAGGCTACCTAAAAATAGCCTATCAATTGGTAGCCATGGCGATAAACAATTGCCATTTGCTATATCATCTGCATTTTATTAGTAGTATTGAGGTACATTGCTCACTTGCATTAAGTGTGTTGTTTCATAAACTCCCACATTTTCACACCGGTTTTAAAAAATTTACCATTCACAATGAGCGAAAAAATGGTACTGGAGAGTTTTATATAGACAATTTATCAGATTGCCCTGACAGTTGTTCAGAACAGGGAGAATCTGTGGCTGGGTGGCCGTTCAGACGTATGTATGCTGTTGAACCGCTAGCGGTCGGCAAAGTGTTAATGAGAAAAAGGACAGAAGTTAGCAATAAGAATGTAGAACACATATGTTTTGAAGATTTTGATCATACTTTCTTCAGTCAAAACTTTCAAACATGCACTCCCAGTTTTACGAACACAGGGCTGCCACAGCCAGTGCAACTAATGTGGTTATATCAGGTGATAGAGTTAAGACAAATAAATACCTTACAGCAGAATTTAGAAGCAGCAGAAATTGTATCGAACCTGTATATATATATATTAAACCAGTTTGTGTTGGTAACTTTTGTTCTTTCCCAAATTATTTTAATTTGACATTTCTTTTTCAAGCATCAAAACTTTGAAATATGCCGTTTTATTTTTATATATACATTGGAACAATTTTCATCACTAACCTTTAGAATAATAAATGTAATGCAAAATATGTATTTACAGTTTCTTCAAGAAGTATCAAAGATTTTTAATAAAAACTATGTAGCTCCAATATTTTAAAAATCAGTGTGAAGAAAATAATGTGTGATGCATATTCTTTGAATATATGATTTACTAATGAAGGAAATTACAGAAAATATTATTTTAATTTTGTTGCTTACCATAGTGCAAAACATAGCATAGCACCTTTTTGTTATGTACCTCCCATGCTGTTTGGTGCATGTGAAAGAGAAGAATCATTTAAGGTTATGTGCTCCGCCGCAAACTTTAACTGCACTACTTTTACCGGCTCCACTACTAAAATCCTCAGTATTAGGCGGGAAGCAGAAGGAAAGTGAAAAGATCTCTGCTTAATTAAATACTCCACTTTAAATGACTAATTCTCCATTTACTGCCGCCCGTCCCCACACTTACAGGCAATAGACTCTTGTTGTAACATGCCTAACTGGTCTGACCATGCTTACAGGGTCACCACTCCCGTTTCTCGGTCTCCTGGAAGGATGTGGAGATAAGTTTTCACTTGACAATTTGACTGGTTGTTTGCATGCTACCCACCAGTATTACACAGGCTAGGACCCTGACCCTGTGGACCAACCGCACCAGACGGAGTACAAAGTTATTACCTCTCTCCTCACCAGAGTGGCCCCCACTCTCTGATGGACCAATCGCCTGGTGGAGTACAGAGTTATTACCTCTCTCCTCACAGGGCAGAGCCTTCACTGTCTCCGAGTCCAGCCGTATAAACGACCTTTCTTTGGGGATATGGAAACGCCAAGCTCGGGATTTTATACCCCCATGGCCAAGACTGCCTAGGTACAGTTCCTAGTCGGTAGCTTCGCAGAGTTCTCTACGCCAACTCTCAACTCCAGGGGGGAGGCGGAAATGTAAAAGAGATGCCAAACCTGCTAAAATCCAATGATAATACCATCTGGGAAACAAACCACTTGTGTGCGCGCTTAATTTAACTCATTTAATTACGTGTATACACTTAAAAAAACCACCAAAAAACGTGGCAGGTGCATATTGGAAAAGTACACATAAATATATATGTATCGCATTTATTTTAGTTCCTGTTTGGTATTTTATGTTGTAGTCTTATTCTTTACATTATCCTCATTTAACCCTTTGCGGCTCAGTGTTCCACTACATGGAACACCCAAATTAAATCGCTTCTGAAACCTTTAAATTCCACTGTAAATAGATAAAAATGCCTTTATAATATACTTTGAACTTTTCTTTTTAAACAGTAGATAGCAGCATATCACAAGGAGACACAGAATTTTCATATATTATGTGTTATTAAAAGCCACTTTTTTTCAAGTAATTTTCTCTATTTTTTTAATGATATAAAAAATTTTATTTGGAAAAAATTAGGCATAGTTTTGCTGGCTGTACTCCAAATTATTTGTTCTATATTTTTTTTTAATCTTTCTTTCATACAAAAATCATACGCAGAATCATTGAATAAAACCAGGTGTTCCATTAGCGGGAACACTGCGCCTTTAGCAATCTCATGCTGTTACTAATCAGAACATCTGTGCTCTTAGGAGAGAACATCCGTTGTTTTCGTTTTCTGTTTTTCGTTGATTTTTTTGGGGGGAATGAATTCAAACAAAGCAGCATTGAGGGGCGGGTGGTTTTTGTGTTATGAAAGCATTAATAATATGGCATCTCGAAATTTTTGGGGGTAGTTTTTAGGCGGGAATTTCATTAGTAGCTTGACTCATCTTTACTTAGACCTACGCGAAATTTTTTGCTGTCGCTTTTTAGTCTCATTCCCGTTATTTTCAATAATTGTGTAGATTTTTCGTGTATCTATATATTATAAGCTTATTTTTCTTTTTTGTTAATATTAATCGTAGTTAATTTTTTTATCTTAGTTGGTTCTTATTAATGCTTCCATCAAAAATTTGGCACGAAGAGCTAACAATTTAGGAAAATTTATAAACATTTTTGTATATAGGACTTGTGTATATATGTATCTCAGATCCGAATATTGTGTATATCCAGGAAACCATGTATACAGCCATAATACAGAGTTTTTTTCATTCCTATACAAACGCTTCTACTAATTTTCGTGCTTCACTGCAATGCTCGCTTAGTCACACTTTTAAAAGCTATGGCGGCGCAGTGTTCCACTTCATGGAACACCCACAGAATTAAAGTAAGTAAATTAAAGTAGTCGGTAAGTGCAATTTTTACAAAAATTTACCTGTATACTCCTTTATTACTAAATAGACTGCATACAACTTTTTTTGTTGAAATTTCGACGTTAACGTAGTGTTTCGACGTTAACGTAGTTTTCGACGTTAACGTAACGTAAATTTCGACGTTAGTGCGCCACAAAGGCTTAAAAGAACACTTCAACTATTTCATAATGTTTCCTTTTTTTGTTTCAGTATATTTATTTATGTATTTAATCATTTGTTTATATTTGCCTCTTTAAACAATTATGAATTGCAATACAATTTAATCCGTTGCTAAAATAACAAAGTGGGTTTTGAAAAAATATAGGATATATATGCCAAAATCTGTATCCTTTGAAGCAACAGCTATATTACATACTTTGAATAATATATGTTTACGATATTAGATAGCCAGAAGACTTCTGTTTTTAAATTCTCAGATACAAGGGTTGAAGATTATTTATTTGAGAAACTTGATAAGAAGCGAGAACATCCATCCAATTTAGATTTGCTTGGACAAGATATGATTGAAGCTGGTGCTGATTTGGGCTCGGGAACACCATATGGTATGTATAGAAATCATCTCGTAATAATAATAATAATTTTAATAAATTGTTTTTTGCTGTTAGATGTACAAAGGGTCATGAATTTATATCTCTAAAACTTTTTTAATACTGAAAATAATTTAAGGCAACCAATGCTTTGATGCTGCAAATTTTCCATTTTTGTCACATGATATAAAACAGTTAACATTTGTAGTTTGCTGCAAATATAAATTATCGCCCAAAATATAAGTTGAACTGTTAGATTACCATCTGTATTATTTAAATAATGAAGAATCTGTATGTATGTAGGCATGTTCCTCGAATTGTGGGAAAACAGTAATCCCTAGAGCCACTAAATTTTTTTTTTTTATTTATTTATCAAATTTTGGGTGAAATTAATGCAATTTTAATTAAAAAATTTGGCAGTTTAAAAGCAGACTGTTGCCACTTAGCTTAGTATACAATATTTATGTTTTAAATTTACTCAGAAAGTTGAGTGATGTGTATGCATTGCCCCCTGGCAAAGCATAATATATTTCTTTTAAATTTAATTAGTAAACTTAGCAATTTTAAAAGAATGTATTTCCACTGCCTGAAATAAAATATTCCTATCTTTAGCACACCAGTGCATTGTCCTTCAGCAAAGTGCAAGATATTTAATTTTTCTTTCAAATGTAATTTATGTAATATATACTTAACAAATTGAGCTATTAAAAGCAGTGTGTAATTCTTCATCTGTATTGTTATTAATTACTGGTGGGATCTGAGAAATTATTTAAGGTAGTAATTTTATTTTGTGCAATTCTTTGTTTTGTTATTTTGATTTTGTGTAGTGGCGATTTTTGCACCAAAAATGGCTGCTACACAAATCCAAAATAGCAAGTCAAAGAACTGCACAAACTCTGTATCCAAGTACACATCAACCTATTTTCACTTAAAAAAATCATCAGAGAATTGCGCAAACTAGGCATTGCGCACTGACTTTGTCCATATACAGTGCGCAAAACAAAAAATTGGGACAGTTCTGTATCTCCCGTTCTACTGGGTCGATTGACGAAATTCAAGTTGTGTTTTTCATGTTTCGAAAGTGCAACTTAGGATATGTGTTAGATTTATATATAGGTAATATACGTATTTTGACACAAAATCGGACATTTTCTGAAACATGCCATTTTTTCCCATATTTCGATTCTACGACTCAAATTATGCCAAACTGCGAAATTTTGTAAAAATTGCACGAGTAGTTTTTTAAATTTGGCACAAAATCGGACATTTTCTGAAATGACATGCCATTTTTTTTCTATATTTTGATTCTACGACTTATGCTAAACAAATTTTGTAAAAATTGCACGAGTAGTTTTTTAAAAATCAGTTCTCAAAATTTTAGCTCCTCAATAATAATTGAATTTGGTATATATATTTATTATTCTCTCTTTTTTTTATTAAATTTATTTGATTCATATCTCACATTTCCAAATTTAGGTTCATTCCAAATAAAATTCGCCCATTTTTTATGATTTATTTAAAAAATTTGTATTTTTAAATCATTTGTATAAATTTTTCTAAAAAATGTTGAACTATAAAATTTTTACCATCATCTTAAAGTAGATGTATTTCTAAGCACACCTGCAAAAAAATTGGAGGTTCTTTCCTTCAAAATTTCTGAAGATGTATGTGAATTTATGTATTGGCACGTTTTTAAATTTAACATATTTGTTGAAATAAATACCTGTGTTAGAACAATGCTATATATAAATCTAATATATATCCTAAGTCGCACTTTCGAGACATGAAAAACGCAATTTGAATTTCGTCCATTTGGCCCAGTAGAACGAAAGATACAGAACTGTCTTTTTCTTTTTTCTTTTTCTTTTTTTTTTTTTTTTTTTTTTTTTTTTCTTTTTTTCTTTTTTTTTTAGTGCTGTGTACACATTGATCTCTATTCACTTAAAAAGTCAAAGGAGCGGCCAACAAAAAATATATAATCTCAATAACTAAATTTTAAATCGAACAATAAAATAACATTTATTGAAATTATTGTATATTTCATTAATATTTAATTATCTAACTAGAATCTAAATTTAATCCCTAAAATTATCTTAACTAGAATCTCTGTACTGGTATCGCCACATAAATTCACAAAAATAAGAGTAAAACATATCCTCTGTAGTGCAGGTATCCTCCGACATTCTTCCATATGCATTTCCTTCCTACAAATAGGACTCTTGTAATGGCAACTAAGTAAACCTTCATTTACACACAGCAGTCAATTAATGCTTTTTTCCCTTTTGTTCCAAATCATACAGAAACTTCAAATTAATCTTACAACATTCAGCCATTTTACCATGTAAACCACAACATAACAACGCACTTCTTATCCAAAATCCGTTCCATCATTCAAATTCACCACAATCACAAAACCAATTACATCATAATAGGGTTTCCATAGCATTCAACAACTCAGATTACCATAAATGAAAATCTTGGTGATAAATGAAATAATTTAGCGATAATCTAAGGGCCATCCTTCAATCTACTCTAACCAAATTTCAATTTGACGGCTATGGTCTTGATGCACATACCTGATATTTCGAAAAATATGCAGCCTACGTCTTTTTCTAAACAAGGGGGGGGTACATGTTAGATGAAGATGCATGCATGTCTTTCTTTTAATAGTAAGTTTGATTTAAAAAAATGTTGCTGTAAATGGTTGGTTTTCTGAAAATAGTTGCTTATAAGATAAACTCTTTCAAGAAATGATGTCTTCATAATTTTCTAAAAGTGGTCACCAGCTTATGTTCTCTTAAGTTGTTTCATGGAGATAAATTTCCTTCTAAAATAAATAAACATTTATTTTAACAATATTTCTGAAGCTATTATTCTGATCTATGATTGTTCTTTCCTTCCTGATGTATACAATGTATTTAGCTAAAGGTACATTACATATTCATGTCATGAAAATGTTATTAAACTTCAGTATTTTTTTAGTAATTTTGTTTGAACACAAAAATTTGCATAGTTTTTGTGATCATTGCAAAGCTGAATAATCCATGTAAAGTTCAGTAAAAAAAATAGAAGATCTGGGAATATTTGTTATCTTACATTTAAATCATGAATAAAAGTTTGAAAAATGAAAACAATGAGTAATGCTTTACATACTAATAGTCTGTTAATCAACTTCTACTAAAAGCCTATTAAGTAGCTTTTTACTTTCTTGAATGAAGTAAAGGAAGTATTGTAATCGCAAAAAATGTCGGGTTTCACATTTCAACTAAAATATCCATTCTGACTGCTCTTGAATCCATTTGAAGGGCATTTTTCGACAAGATCTATATATACAAACAGAATAAAGGACCTTCTCCCTTCCCCAAAAGAGATTTTTAAACTAGATTCAGAAGAGATTTTTTCATGATGTCTGTACTACCTAGATACATACATGTCTCGCATAACTCAAAAACTAGTAGCCTTAGAGCTTTGAAATTTTGCATATGAGACTGCTACAACATTTGGTTGTGCTCCTTCCACTTTTGTTGCAATCAGATGGAACCAAATTACATCTATATATATATATATATTTCCACTGTTACCCAGCTTGGTGAGCTCAGTTGTTTTATTCTTATATGTTGGTAAATTGTACTTTTTTTGCTTTAAAAGTGATTGAATTATGTGTTCTTATCGTCTGATTAAGGTTTTCATGACTATAGTTAATCTCCATGCAATAGTTATAGAATTATCAGCTGTTGAAAAGTTTAAATGGCACTAGGCCTAAAACGGCCACCATTTTTTTACATTTGTAGCTCTTAGTAGAATAGTGAATTAAGTCAGTTTCAGCATCAACCTTAGTGTCTCTTTTCCCAGTGTGCCACTGGGAAAATTTGGTCTTCTTGCCCATTGGGCGAATTGCTTGTTTTGGCGTAGAAACGCTAATTTTAATTGTAAAAATTATTTTTTTAACTGTTTTTAATGGTATTTGATATTTTAGAAATTTTAATGAAGATGTTTTGTGTTTTAATGTATTTTTTTAGATTTTTATGTATTTTGCCTTACTGCAAAGTAAAAATTGAATTGATTGAATGAGAAATATATGTCTAATGAAATTCGAGGAAGTAAGTTTAAATGAAATGCAGCAAAAAATTTTTATAATTTAACAGGCTGTACAAGGAAGCTGTGGTTTTCGCACCAATAACCCTTTTTTCTCCATATGTAAAAAATAAGATGATCATTTTCAGAAAATTTCCCACAAAAGCATCAGCCCCATGTAATCATATCTCATGTGCTTCTTCTGTGAAGTATACTGGTGGACTTGATAGAATTTGTTTTAATTATATATATATAAAGACATAATTATAAATGTCCATGCATCAGGCAAGATGAACATAGATATTGTCTCTCTAAACGTCATATTTCTAGTTAGACAAAAGAACTTTAAATATATTGTACAGCACATATAGACTTTTTTACAAAATGGTTCATATTTAAGTACGATCACAATATATTTACTATCTTTCATCTTATACATGGTTCTTATAATTAAATTATGAGACTGATTTTATTACATGATGATAAAAGCTTAGTTGGTAGAGCTGTGTTTATCATCCAAATGGGCCAACCGTCATCTAAAATTAGTAACATTCTCCAAGCATGATGCAGAGTTGCCAACTCTCCCGATTTTCGACCGGTCTCCCACTAACACGATTTACATTATATTTCTCCGACTTTTTCCTATTCTTAAAATTTCTCACGATTTTTATGGAACTTGGCTTAATACTTTGTTATATGAACAAAAAAAAAAAAAAAAAAAAGTGATTTTGGACGTCTGAAAGCAATTGAATTTTCTCTAGATTATATCTACACTCACGTCCATAAATTAAGGATAATTCGGAGTCACGAGGAAATCGAACTCTAAAATGAATATATCACCTGTAAAATCACTACACACCTTTTCAAGAATCATAAGCAAATTTCAGGAAGTAACCAGATGACACCGATGGTACGTCACAATGACGAGAGTGTTATATAAGGAATACAGGCAAAGAAGTAAAATTGTTCGCTGACGCTTTATAAGCATTTCAGTGCAATAACCGAATAGTTATGACACAAAGGACGCATTTGGATGATTTTTTACGTGGTAGAATTATCGGCCGTCTGGAATGTGGGCATACCCAACTGAAAGTATCAGACGAACTTGGAATTGCCCAGAGCGTCACCTCCAGGCTTTGGCAACGATTCCAAGATGATGGTAATGTGAGTAGACGTTACAGCACAGGTCGCCCCAGAGTTACAATGCCGAATGAGGACCGGTATTTGTCAGTTACTGCCAAAAGAAACAGGCGGAGCACAGCCTCAGACCTGTCTCGTCAGCTCTCTTCAGCCACTGGTACGACAATTTCAAGGCAGACCGTGTACAGATGCTTAGGGCAGTTTGGTCTATATGCTCGTAGACCTGTCAGATGCATTCCACTTACTGCAACTCACTGTCGCCTGCGGTTAGCCTGGAGTAGAGAGCATGCATTGTGGACACCGCAACAGTGGGTTTGTGTGATGTTTTCCAACGAGTCCAGGTTTAGCTCGCAGTCTGATTCTCGCCAGACTTTCATATGGAGAGCTCCAGGTACCCGTTACCACCAAGGAGTGGTGCAGGAGTGCTCGTTTGGGATGGAATTATTCTGGGTTCCAGAACTGACCTGCTTGTTCAAATCCATGACAAGCCAAATCTATTGTGACGTCATTCTGGAACAACATGTACGTTTGTTTTAGGGCGCCATGGGCGCACAATTTGTGTTTGTGGATGACAATGCCCGTCCTCATCGTGCAAACATCGTAAGTGAATGCCTTCAGTCGGAGGATATCACCCGTATGGACTGGCCAGCAATCTCACCGGACTTGAATCCAGTAGAGCACGTTTGGGACATGCTTGCCCGACAAGTTGCAGCCCGTCAACCTCCTCTTACATGTCTACCGGAACTTCGGAGAGCATTGCTTTTTGAGTGGTGTAATATCCCACAAGATCAGATCGATAATTTGATACTCAGCATGCCTAGGCGTTGTACGGACTGTATTGCATCGTCTGGGAGACATGCAATGTATTAACAATCATACCAACCATGTAATATTGGTTTTTTGTAAATAGGTTTTTTTTTTTTTTTTTGTTATTTGCTCCAGGGAGAAAAAATCACTAATTTTTTTAATAATAGCATATAGCATCGTTTTTTGCTCTTTACCTTTTGTTTAATAAATAAGCTTTACAAATAAGTCAAATTTGGTTTGCTTCTAACTCTTCCTTTGCCTGATTTTGCATTATCCTTAATTTATGGGCATGAGTGTAAAACAAAACCTTTCGAATAAGATGAAAATTTCTGCTTTGTGAGTCAGAACATGGACCTTATAAGAAATAGACCAACCCAAATGGGTTTTCTCCCTTGCCCTGGCGCATTCCCAGCTGTCACCTTGACCACATCCGTAGGAGTAGGGATGACTTGCAGAAACTTGACAATAGTTGTCTATTGCAGCGCGTATAATTTTCAAGAAAAATTTTCAAGAAAAAGCTGGTGATAGCGCCTCATTTCACAAATTAGAATTTTTAGATATTTTTATTTTTGAAACTAAGATTAATTTTTAAAAATTTAGCATATTTATCAAGCGTAATTAATATTCTAAAGAATTATAAAGCTGTTGCATGCTTTCAGGTCTGGATATTTCTTGCTGATGTTTCTGCTCTAGCAAATGCATCTTTTTCTGATATAAGGTACTTTTTGAACAGATTTCCTGTGTTACTTCATTTAGTCATGAAATATGATGATATTGCCACTGATATCTTGCAATTGCAATTTTGAAATTTACAATTAGAAAACTTGGATAAAGTTATAAAATCAGCGAGAATTGACACCTAGTGGAGTTTACTTGGAAAACTGAAAAGTGCTGATGGAATTTTAAAATATAGTGAACGGTCCAGAAATATGTTGGCCTTCTTGACAGTTCTCCATAGTATTGCAGAGTATAAGAGGATTTTCAGTGTTGTTGCAAAAACGAGGACTAAATTTAGATCTAATATTAGTGATGACACATTAGAAAAATTTTTATTAGCGAAAGCAGGCCTACGTGGCAATTGCTAAGAACAAAATTATGAAGTTTCTTTCTTAACGAAAGCAAAATCTACCACTGTTCATAACATTTGTACGAAAACTGATTAAAGTGTCTTTTTTTTCCCCCTATAAATGATGCAAGTAACAAAAATGTGTTTCATGTGTAAGGTATTTTTGTGTTGCTTGCATTTAAGAGTTAGTAACTGTTTAAAGTTAATTCATTATTAAAAACTATATTTTTATCATTTAAAAAGTCTTTAACATTGTGAAAAATCTCCTGATTTTTGAGTGTCATAGGTTGGCAAGTATGATGATGTAAAGTATTAAGTGAGAAAGTAATATTATATGAGCAGCATAAAGCAAGAGCAAATATTAAATTTTGTTTTAAACTTGGAATGCTATTAAGTCAGGTAATTTTGGAAACAAATACATATATGGGAATAATTCTGGATCTAGTGTATAGATATTCAGGCATTGTGCATAATTCTAAATTGGTGCTGAAATAGCCAAATCTAACCTAGCCTAGATCTCGAAGAACTGTTTATACCAAGGAACTCATTGCAAAAGATAGAATTGTTACAGGAAGATTGATTATAATGATGTAGTAAATGTATTTGGCATAATTCATAAAATTTTTATGAAAAGCTCTGAGCAAGGGAAAAACGTTCTCTTCCCAGTTTGTGTGTCTTTGATCATGTTTACTATTCAAACTGAATCCTTCAAACTTGTCAGAGAAATAATTTTAAGAAATTTTTTTTTCAGTGATGAAACATTGTGTTTTCACTTCTTTCTGACAATTAAATCCTGAAATTAAGCTCTGAGTGATAGTTACCATCACCTGCAACAGGGGAAAAATTTGTTATCAGATGTGAAGATAGTACTGATATGTTTCTATGACAGCAAAGGAATTATTCTTCATGAATATGTTTCTGAAGGGCTGACTATGCATCTTTTTTTATTTAAGTATTTTGAAACAGATGTGTAGAAGTGTTTTCTGAGCTTAACCTGAATGTTCAACACACTTGGTTTTGTTTTCATAATAATGCACCAACTCACATAGCAGTAGTTGTGCAGAAATTTTGGCCTGAAAATAAGTGTATGCTTAGTTATCTAATAAACTCAATAGATTTCTGAGATTATTTTCTGTTCTCAAAGTCAAAACTGGCATTGAAGACATCTAAAGGATGGATATGACATTTCGCCTAGCCTAAGCATCTGAAGCATGAAGGCATCAAAAGAAATGTTTTTTGAAAAAAAAAAAAAAAAAATAATGTTCTTCATCTTTTGGTTGTTTTTCCTTTTATAAACTTGCTCTCATTACTGAATTTTCAGGCTGTATGTGCAAATTCTTTTCCCTTAGAATATGTATATAATAAAACTTGGGTTATAAGTTACTGTCATGTCTGATTAAAAAGCAGCATATTAAAGGGAAGCCGAGTTAAAATATTTGATGTTTGCATATATATATAAAACCAAGCCTGTTTTAAAAAGATCTGATTTGCTATATTTCAGTTAAAGCAGCAGGAAATATAATAATCTAGATGCTAATTAATTACTTCTAAGAAGAGGTAACACACTTAGAGAAAAGGAATTAGATTTTATTCTTTAAAAATGCAACTTCCTAGTGTGTATAGGATACCCTGAGCTGAGAAAGAACGAAATTCAAGTTCTAATGTAATTTTGTCAGCTTCTTAAAATGTGTTGGATAAATAGATAGATATTGGGAATGGAATGGCTTTTTTTAAAAGAAAATAATAATAGAATGAAAATGCGATTTTTGACATGACATTGACAGAGTTCCTTTTCAAAACAGTAAAATAGATAATGGCACATAAATAAGAAATTGCAGTAATTTAAGTCCCCAGAAAAGGTCATGTGATAAGCAGAGTATGATTGATGGCTTCATGAACATACCTACGTATGATCTTAAGCAGATTTTAATTTCATTGTAACAGTACTGTGCTATTTTTATAAACTTCTGCTTTCCGAAAAATTAACAAAACATTTATCACGTTAGTTGTAGTAAAAAGAAGTCTAAATAAAGCAATACATATAGTGCCCAACTTACTGTATTTTTTTCTTTGTTAGGTAGTGCTTTGATAAAAATTGGACAAACACAGCAACGTCTAGGTGCAGCTGAAAGGGAATTTGTCCGAGCTGCTATGACCACATTTGTCAGTCCTTTGAAGCGTTTTTTAGATGGTGACATGAAAACAATAATGGTAAGGTTGAAAAAAAAAAAAAGCATAACTGTCGAATTTGTGTGAACTTTTTTAATGCTTTTAATTATTTTAGATATCTGTTATCTAAAATAATTTGATGTTGTCTAATTAAGGAAGACATTCAAAATGATAACTACCAATTGTAGTTAATTATGTGAGTTAGTTACTAATTTTTATTATCAATCTGATCAAATCATATTACTGAACATAAAAGTTTGATTAACTCAAAAAGAGTTCTTTATAAGTATAAACAAATTTATTCTAGAGTTTAAAAATTTAATTGATGGTAAATATGAAAGAATACTATACTAAAAAAGGTTTTTGTGGGGTTTCGATAAGCTACATTTTTTGTAAAGAAACTGAAATGGATTAATTCTGGGACTTTTGTGCTTGGCATTTATTTTTCAGTCTTAATTATGCTTAAAGTATTCAGAAATTTAAATTTCCTTAGGCAGTAAAGCAGATTTTAAATTTTAACTTTCTGATAATATTTTTTTTATTAAATGGATTTTTAAGCAAAGTGAGTTGGACAGAATGTGGGTGTATTTAAATTATTCCATTGTTCATCTGGTGCTTAAAATCTTTAAAAAGAAAGTTTTTTTCATTAAATTATGTTTTTAGAGTCCTTTAAAAAGTCTTGTGAAAGTCTTTACTTTATCATTATCTTTTGGGCAAAATTGAAATTTTTAGGAACTCTGCTGAAGTTAAAACTTTTGTATTGTTACGTTATTTTCTTCCTTCATGTTCGTTTGGGGTTCATAGATTTGGAGTGAATAACGGCGACACTTGATGAAGTATCGAAATGCACTTTACCGATATTAATCAGATAGCTCTAAAATCACTTTTACAGTCACCAAACAGTTAAAAACATGCTGACGCGTTCAGCGACTGTCAGGCAGTAACGGTGGAGACAGCTTCACTGCAAAGCACCAGAGTACAGCTTCCGACTCTGTTTGGTCATTCTCGAAACTCCACGTACTCTTGAGACTCTCCACGCAATGCACTTGACAATACACAAGAGTATAGTTCTCGACTCAGCACAGTCTAAGATGAAATTCGACGATGCACTAAAAGACTCTCTCGATGCACTCGGCGCTAGACTTCTAGACACTCGCTAGAATGACTGGCTATCAGCTCGCTATACGAGGCACACACACTCGTCCTCTAGGCGAGGTAACTCTCAGTGAGAGACACGCACTAACTGACTGCGGACCAGCAGGGTTTGTATAGCTTTTGGCTTGTGTTCGAGAACATTCTGGGCTAAACTGTTAAGAATTCGTTCCAGAAGGTTCTCCATCCGTCTATGGTATATTGCCAATATTTTCGCCAAATGGGCGATTTCTCACCAAGTGTGGCAACCCTGACTTCCTTTGCTGTTTTTCTGGCAACTCTAAAACTGCTATGCGGGGAAGCTATCTCATCACACCTGTGCATTTCGTAACACTGCCCCCTCCCAAGGATTACACGTCCCGGGCAGTACAACCCTTGGTCAGAAGCCTAATTTGATACAAACAAAACATAATAAAACAAACAAGAAACATAACTAAAGAAACAAATATTTACACTATATACAAGTTATATACACAAATTGAACACATAATAATTTTAAATTATATACATTAAAGTTCTGAATGAATTTCAATCTCAGTGTATTCACTAAAATATACCCGTGTCAAATACTTTTCCACTGCAGTTCTCAGATATATTTATGTTTTGCATATCACAGTCTAAATGATTCAGTCCTTTCAGACATTTCATCCACCGGAAGATGTGAAACAGTTTGTTCACCACTCTGTAGTTCATTCGCAGCATACATACAGTTCACCTTGGTATATTTAGCAGGTGGTACATACTCGTTTTCCCCCGGTTTTCTGGGAACCAGCTCCAAATTCTGCATCAGAAGTCATGAACAGAACCCGATATCTTTACAAACAGCAAGCATCCTGGTTTAGAATCAAGATCAAGTCCTTGTCTGCAAAATGTGCACTATGAGAGCTCACATACCCAGTTTGCGAAGTGGGTGAATTTTCTTCCAGTACTGGAGCGTACTGCTTAAGCTGCACATCAGCTTTCTCCCATCTCAGCATCACATGCACTTTCAGATGGTTCACCTGCTGCCTGCAACTTCGTAACTTCACTATCAGTTTTGACAAACTTAACAGTCGCATTTTCATTTTCTTCTATCTCTACTTCAGGCACGTGAGAATCAAAAATCTTCCTTCCCGTCTTTTATTTCTTCATATTTTCGTTCTGTTTCTTTAATCCCGTTAGATATTTCATCGATCATTTCTGGATCTTTCTCAGGCAGTTCGTTAGCTACTTCCTTCATTTCTTCATCCCTTGATTCTTCCAGACAGCATTTCTGTCATCTCCACATCGTCTTTTATGGCTCCAGTTTCTTCTGTAAGCTCCAACTTTCAGCTGTTGGAGTAGTTCTCTGAACATTTTCTTGGCTGCCATTTATCTCTTCTCGTCTGGCCTTCATTCATCTAGCTGGCTTTAATCTCAGCTTGTCATCTCTTTAGATCCGCTTTCATCTGTTTATATCCAGATTTTATCTCATCATATCCTCCTTTTAATTCTTGGCAGTTCCAGCTTTCATCTTCAGCTCTCATCCGGCTTTTATTCAGCATGTCTGGCTTTCCAATCTTTTCTTGAATCTAGCAAAGGTCCATCACAAGTCTTTGTTTCTTCCGCCATAGACTCTTCCATCTGCAGGCGGGTCACTGGCATTCACCCTCAAATCCCACTTCTGACAACAGTTGTTACGTTAGTTTCTTCCTTCACGTTCATATGGGGTTTGTGGATTTGGAGTGAATAACGACGACACTTGATGAAGTATCGAAACACACTTTATTTACCAATATTAATCAGATAGCTCTAAAATCACTTTTACAGTTGTCGAACTGTTAAAAACACGCTGTCAAGTTCAGCGACACAGCCTTCACACTGTCAGACAATAACGGTGGAGACAACTTCACTGCAAAGCACCAGAGTACAGCTTCCGATTCCGTTTGGTCGTTCTCGGAACTCCACGTACTCTCAAGACTCTCCATGCAATGCACTCGATGATACACAAGAGTATAGCTCTCAATTCAGCACAGTCGAAGACAAAACTCGACGATACACTAACTCGCGATACACTAAAAGACCCTCTCGATGCTCTCGACGACCAACTCGGCGCTAGACTTCGAGACACTCGCTCAATGATTGACTATCAGCTCGCTAGACAAAGCACACACACTTGCCCTCTCAACGAAATAAACTTGATGAGAGACACACACTAACTGACTGCGGACCAGCAGCGTTTATATAGCTTTCGGTTTGTGTTCGAGAACATTCTGGGCTAAACCGGTAAAAATTCGCTCCAGAAAGGTTTCTCCTATTCCGTCCATGCATATCGTTAATTTTAATCGCCGAATGGGCGATTTCTCGCCAAATGTGGCAACCCTGCCTTCCCTTGCCGTTTTATGGCAACCCTAAAACTGCTTTGCGGGGAAGCTATATCACCGCGCCTGTACATTTCGTAACAGTATTGTATTTTTTAGAATGAGCATAAATTTCTCCATAATATATATAAGGACTGGAACACCATACAAAAAGTTAGATTTTATACTGCAAAATTTATTTTTTTTAATTGTGACATGAATATGTTGGTCATTTAAAACATTTTTGTGACTGAAAGTATATATGTATCTATAAACAGTGGTTGCAAAAATTAACCCTTTGACGTGCGGTGGTCGCGCCTTGAAACCACCAATTTTCGAATTTTTTTCTCCTCTTCCTTCCGAAATTTTTGAGTGAAAATCAATTGATTACTGATCTCTTACCTCTAAATAACACACAATGACTACAGAATCATACAGGTTTTTAGGTCTTAGTACTTCAAATCGAATGCCTTTTAAAATTAGTTTTCAATGAGACAAAATAACTTCCTTTTATTAATATAAACAACTTTAAATTTCAAAAGTTATTCATCTCACATCATGATTTCTGTCATAAACAATAAAAAATACCTCCACTTGGTCAACTTCTTAATATGTGGCAACCTATTTTCATTTCCATTTTTACATAGTGTGTGAGAGGAAAAAAAGACTCAATCGTTCCTTCTTTCAAATAATGTTCTTTATATTATATTTTTAAATTAAATTGTTATTAATTTTAAGCAATTTTTTTAAATTTCATTTTAATTGTTTACGTTGCATAGTTTCTTTCGAATAACTGCTTTAAAAATTTCTATTTACTTATTCGAATTGCGTAGTTTAAATCAAAGGTGCATCATTAATTTTTTTTCCAAATATTTTCTTTATACTATATTTTTAGTCATAGTTACTACTTAAGGTAATTTTTAAAATTTTAGACTTTTATTTTAATTGTTAGTGATGCATTGTCTCTTCAAGTAATTATTTTGAAACTTTCTATTTATTCATTCAAACTGAGCAATTTAAATATATTTATAAATGTAAATTTTCAAGAATTTGGATTTTATTTATTTGAATTGGGTTCCTTTCGGAAGAATACTTTGTGACCCAGACTACGAAGCGTTTAGAAACTGCATATATTAAAAGAGAAAATACAGTAAGGCACAGTTAACACGCCTTTTAGCGTTCCGTTCAGAAAAGATATATAAATAAGAGAGAAGTATAACCGACATTTTAACTTAGGATGACTTGCATACGCTGCTTTAAACAGTTTTTCTTCTGCCATTCTGCTTAATTCTTGCTCATTTTCTTCAGGCATTCTGCAAGTATATTAAATAGCATCCAACTTTTTTAAACATCTTGGTATTTCTGACAATAATTTTAAATAAAATTATTGCCTTTCATTTCATAAAGGTCCACAAACGGCCGAGCGGTAAAGCCGCTGAACACTGGTAGTTCACTCCGGGGTTCGAATGCCTGTAAACGGGCTGGTTGTATGGGTGTTTTCGTGGATTTTTCTCATGTGTAATGTGTATGCCATCTGGTTTCCCTTAGAAAGTTCTTCACGAAGGCATCCTT